GACTGTGACCAGTGATAGTCATGTATATAGAGATTAGAAATGCATGTGAAAACGTCTCAATGTCAATTGCCTTGGAATGAATTCTTCTGCATGAAAAAAACAAAAACAAAAACAAAAAACAAGTATCTTCTTGAAGTCCCTCAAATTAAGGTAAAGAATAAGAACAAATCATTCTGGAGGAATGCAAAGGAAAACAGCTTTAGATACTTAAGTGAAAAAAAAAATTTCTTATCTAAAGAAACTTTACAGAGGGGCTGCAGAGATGGCTCAGCAGTTAAGAGCACTGACTGCTCTTGAAGAAGACCTGGTTTCAATTCCCAGCACCCACATGGCGGCTATGACCTGCCCTTAACTCCAGTTCCAAGGGAATCTGAAACCCTTTTCTGACCTCTGCAGCATTGCATGACACAGGTGCACACACATACATGCAGGCAATACACTCGTACATATAAAATAAAAGCAATAAATAAAAAAAAATTTTTTTGGTCTTTTTGAGACAGGGTCTCCCTGTAGCCCTAGGAACTCACTATGTAGACCAGGCTGGCCTTGAACTCACAGAGATCTGCCTGCCTCTGCCTCCCGAGTGCTGGGATTAAAGGCGTGCACAACCACACCTGGCTAAATAAAATATTTTTTTAAAAGAAACTTTACAGAAAATAATTTTGTAATATGAAAAAGCTTGTATTTGTAATTTAGCTATTTGATTTTGCTATGGGTTTCATAGTCTGCTGAATTCAAGTAACTTCTGTTTTTATTTCTTTGTTAGAGATAAACATTCAATATTGTCACTTTCTGCATTGCTAATATTATCTATGAGAAAATTGAAAAGTTTGCATTCATAAAATTTATTTGTACCTGATAAACTCTGTAAGAAAAATACAACACGAGAATAATGATTAAGATGGAATATTCTTTGATTATGAGAAAACAAATGAAGTTTATGACATCTAGGCACACAAACTTTATTCAATAGGCCTTAACAAAAATGAAAGAATGCATAAAATCTGGTGGGGGGGCATGGGAGTGCAGGTAGGGGAAGGGGGTCTAAATATGATTAAGTCATATGAAATGCACAAAAATTCAATAATATATATTCTAATTTTAAAAACACAAGGTATTTACTCAAGATCTTAATAACAAATTATTTTCATTTTGTTAGCAAGCAATTTTATATCCTCAAGGCTAGCCGATGGAGATCTGTATTTGATACTATACTGGTATTTAGAATTTAAAAATAGTTTTTTATTTGAGTATGTTTATACTATGTGTGGAATCAATGACAGTCGAGAGAAAATGTGATAATTACTATATTCTAGGCTTATTCTGAGGGAAATACTGTACATAGATAGATGTGGATATAGGTACATGTGAGATACAAATGTATACATCACTAGACACTTATTATTCTCATCATACATACATAGACATAGATATAGCTACACATGAGATACAAATGAATACACCACTAGATAATTATGATTCCCATCAAGGATGTAAATTCTGAGGCAAAGACATGTGAAGTAAGAGAGCCAATATTCAGCCCAACACTTTAATGCTAACTCCCTATTTACACTTAACTGTTAGAACATGAGAAACTACATCAGCAAGCAATGTGCTCAAAACATAACAGAAAAGAGGCAGGAAGTTTCCCCTAATGGGGGAATCAGAGATGACAACCAGCTCCATGTACCAAGTTCACTGTGATGAGATTATTAAGGATGCCAGCTTTGACTACCATTTATCCCATCAACATCACTGAAGGGGGTCATATATATATGATATTCAAACAGCATGCTACTGCCATGCTATTTTGTTAATTTTTAAAGAAAATCCTATAACCTGAGTTATATTAGATACAGCAACATCAACAAATTGACAGTGAACAAGAGGGTAAGAAAGTCACAAGAAAGCTCAAAATAATCCTTTACTTTGGTTTTCAGGTGTTACATATTTCTAAATTTTTGCCCACTATGCTTACATGGTAGAAAAGGAGAACATGAATTATTTTTAATGGCATTAAATTTTTTTTTTGTTTTGGTTTTGATACAGTTTTTTCCCTGTAGCCCTAGATGACCCGGAACTTTATATGTAGATCTGACTGGTCTCTATCTCACAGAGATCTACTAGCCTTTTTCTCCAGAATGCTGGGATTAAAGGCATGGCCCACCACTACCAGCAGTCCATTATTATAAAAATTTACATTTATTTGTTCATTGTTGTGGTGGGGACAGGAGCACACATGCCATGGCGTATATGTGGAGGTGGGAGAACACTTTGTGATGCTAGCTGTCTCCTACCATGTTGACCCTGAGGATCTAGGCTTGGCAGCAAGAGCCTTTACCCACTGAGCTCTCTCACTAGCCCTCTTCCAGATTTTTAATTGGAAATTTGATATTTCTATAACATTATTTAAATAATCTTGTAATTTATTTTTAAAAAGGAAGGTTTTTTTTGTTTTTGTATTTATTTATTTATTATTTATTTACTTATTTTGTCCTTTTGAGACAGGATCTCCCTGTAACCCCAGCTGGCCTAGAATTCTCTGTGTAGACTAGGCCGGTCTTGATTGCACAGAGATCTACCTGACCCTGCATCCCAAGTGCTTGTATTAAAGGCATACACCACCATTCCCAGCTTAGAAGTTTATTTATAAATATTCTGTACCATTTGATTCTCATATCTCACCTATATACATATGAAACATGCATGCATATATGCAGTGTTCTCACTTCAAGGCTTTATTTTATCTCTCATGAATTATTCATGACATTTTCAAGTAACTGGCAAAGACAATTGATTTCTTGTCCTAATCTTCTAAAATCTGGGTCTCCTCTTAATTAGATTTAATCTCTCAGGCTCTTATATTAAATGTTAAGAATTGCCCAAGTTTAAGACAAGATACATAAGCCTGGATTGTACTGTAAGAACACTGTACTGCACAGTTAAATACAGTGAAGAGGCACATTAAGTCTTCTATTTCTCATTTCTGGAATTAACTAGTAAGAGTATTTCTATCCAGAGAAAGCATATAGTCAAACCACAGCAATACTTCGCTTCGTGTTTCTTGGGCAAATCTGTGTTTGGTTTTGTGTCCACTCTGAGTTATTAGTTCCTGTGCCATGTGTGTTGCTAGACTCTGACTAACACCATGCTGAATTATTTAATTTTAAGCCATTGATGGTATATCTTAGGGTTATGTTATATAATATGAAATAAATAGCAATTTATATTGTCTTTCAGTTTGAAAAGATCATTTATATTTCAGCATGACTTTAAACAAAGAAAAATATATTGAAGTAGAGTTCTGTTTCTCTAAGCATTATTAATTGCATTTAGTTATAGAGTATTCCATTAATTATATTAAAAATCTATCTGCCTAGACCCCAGTGCAGGAACTTGAACTTATACTAAGGGACATCTGGAGACACTAATTTGACGCAATATTCCTTAACACAAATGACAGAATGTTTGAATTCCAGTGGGTGGGAGGGTATGGGAGAGTGCCAATGGGGAAGGGGGTATAAAGAAGATTGAGAACAATTAAGATGTTTTGTATAAAGTACAAAAATTCAATTAAAAAATTTATTAAAAAATTATATCACGGGAATAAACACAAGATGCTGCAAATAATAGATGCTCAGTCACCTGTGCACTGAATACTTCAGATGCATATGAAAATTTGTGGGTGGGGATGATGACATACTTTAGATCATATGAAAATTGGGGGGGGTGATGACATACTTTAACATTTATTAACATTGGGATTTAGATTTGTTTAGAAAATATGTATCTATTTTTGCATCAACTAATTAATTACATTAGAGCTAGTAATAATTTTTACTTATATTTGTTTTAATATAAATAATAAAAGTAATTACATATTTGGATTTATAGGTCATTAAAGATGTTTTATTTTATAATTTATAATACTATTCATGAGAATTCCAGGAAAAAATATTTTTCTCTTTTTCCTAATAGTGTCCCAGTAAGACGTTTGGAGGCTTTGACTCTACAAAGGACCTTCCTGATGATGTGATAACCTTTGCAAGAAGTCATCCAGCTATGTACAACCCAGTATTTCCAATTAATAACCGCCCAATAATGATCAAAACAGATGTAAATTATCAGTTCACACAAATTGTAGTTGATCGAGTGGATGCAGAAGATGGCCAGTATGACGTCATGTTCATCGGAACAGGTACACTTTTGAACTACAACACTACATTTTCTTCCAGAACACTATGTTTAACTTATTTAACATGCCAAGAACAAAGGGCATGCTTGATACTTGGTTTCAGGCACCTGAATATTCTACCAGTAGAAATATGTTATCATTTTGCAGATATATTCATATTTTCTTTGTCAAAATTTCCTTGTCAATGAACACTTGATAAATGTAATCAGATGAAGATAATGTTTAGCTTAAACAATCAATGTTCATAATTGAATTATACCTCTTTTTTATCAATATCTTTAAAAAAGAGTTTTTATTGCTCAAATCATGACTGAAATTCCAGTACATTTAATAGATGCTCCAGAATTTTGTTACTGTAAACTTATCTGAACTTTAAAATTAGTATTTAATGAAAATCTTCCAGCAAATAAATGTTCGCAAAAAATTTACTCACTGTTTCTGTCATGTGAAGAGAAAAATGAAAAAGTTCTTCATTAGGAGAAAAAAAATCACAAAATTCATCAGATACGTTTCCTCAGAAATTTAATGATCTCTTTTTACTAATTGCAATTATAGAAACAAATTTCTGCAGCTATATTTTCAGAATTAATCTTATTCCTATGACTCCCCACCCCCCGCATACCCCCTTAAATGGTGACGCTTATGAAAGGACCAGGTACAAATCTGAAACTTGCTACTTAAGGCCATATCCCAAGGTAATAAATCTCTAGTCTCCATTAACTTTGTTAACTGACATAAATCAAGGAGAAATAAAGCAAGTGTTCAACTGAAACCTTGTATAATAACATTTATTTTCCCTTGGTGAGAAAAAGAAAAAAAAATGTTAACTACATCAAAATGGTAACTGTGTAGTAAAATTGCTTTAAACAAATAAAGTTTTATAACTAAATTATGAAACACTCATGTTATCAGGTGTAATAGTGTCAGGTTCTGGGCAATACACTAAAGTCCACTTTTATGGGTAAGAAATTTTCTCTCCCAAATAAAAGAATCCTAATGAGATTTTGGGGTTTTGTAAGAGCCAATGGCTGTGAGTACCACCTTCAGAGTGTAAACATCATTGGAAAATATAAGATAATATTTCTTTTTTTCAGTTAATGTTAGCTTTTCTTTTAATGTCACATTATAATTGAATCTCTCTGTAATTAAGTTTGTTCAGCCATGTCACACTTAACATTGTTCTTCATCTCTGGTTTAAACTTGTTCAGAGGTGCCTTACTCACTGTCAAAGCAACAAAGCTTGCTTCTGGGTATTTGCCCAAAGAAAGCCAATCCTGAGCTTTGAACTCCTCTAGGGCACAAACTGACATTAAAGATCCCAGTTTCATGAGGATGTTGAATGTCAGATGATGTGGATACTTGTAGGTCAGTACAGACTGGGGTCATCTGTCAGCAAGTAAATTGATTACAGTAATTTTATCTTTTAACTAAGTTTCACTTCACAGCACATTGATCCAAATTGAGTAATCTGATTCAATTTGTGTGAAATTGTTTGAAATACTATTCAGTAAAACTTGATCTGGAACACAGATAAAGTTATGTTTGGGTCCTGGAGACTCAATTGGAGGAACTAAGTAGATTAACCTAATTTCCCTTTAATCTTTGGTGTTATGAGTAGCTAAGGTCCTGTAAACACAGAAGGATCCTCTTAAAAGAGGACCTTTTTAAAAAAAAAAAAAAACTAGAAAGGGATAAACTAGCAGCCTGCTCTTATCATATATAGTAAATTGAAATGTTCTCTTCAGAAAGAGTTGTCAATAGAGGGGATATATTGGAGTATATTTCTAGTATAATAATCTTTATTGGTAAGATTTTCTTTTCAAATAGTCAGTTAAAGTTGGTAAAAAAGGAATGACTAAAGCTAAAAGGAAATGAACACATTTCCTTAACACTAGAATGTTCCTGATGCAGTTTTTGTTAACTAATGATTTTGCTTTCCTACCAACAAAGAATAGAAACACACCTATGACATAGTAAAAGTAATATTGCCTTTATGAAACTTCAAGTAAAAATGCTAAATATTTTCATTGCAGCAACCTGTCTCTTTTGATAATGTAAATCAGAAAAAAATTGCTCCCTTTGGAACTATAAGCTAAATAAACTCTTCTTTTTTTTCGGTCTTTTTGAGATAGGGTATCCCTGTAGCTCCAGCTGTCCTGGATCTCACTATGTAGATCAGTCTGGCAAAATATATTTTTTATGATTTACATTTTTTCATTTAAATATTTAATATTCCAAAATAGATCAGCCCATGTGTACATTGTAGACACACTACTGTGACAAGTAATCTGAAGTGTTAATTTTGAGAAATCACATTGTCATTCATCACTTCAAGATCACTGAGCCCTCCTTAAGAGTCTCTATGTTCTCTCTCTCTCTCTCTCTTTTTTTTTTTTTTTTTTTTTTAGGAGAGGGGAGGGGCAGCCAGGCTCTGAGTCTTTCACTATCCAGGCATGGGCAGAATTTCTTACATTTCACAACTCCACTGAGTCTTCTTGGGCATACACTGCTTTTGCAATGAAAGTGGAAAAATCTGTCATGTCAAACTGGCATTTTTTGTGGTCTTTTTTTCTTTTTCTTGGATGCATAATAATTAAAGGAAATATAAAAATTAAAATTGATCCAACCTAGCCAGTTTATCTTGTGATTATTACATTTTAAAAAGTTATGAAGTTTCAGGATAAAACCTTCTTCAAAGTTTAATATATTTCTAAAATTAGGGATTT